GAATCGTGCATCTGCAAGTGTCGGGTCCGGTGGCGACTGCTCCTCCTCCTCCTCCTCCATCAACTGCAGGACTGTAGCAGCTCAATCACGCTTGCGACACGCAGCATGGCACAAACCATCATGAATCCTCGTACTCAATGTCAAACTCTGTGTCATCCACCACCTGCAAGCCACCATCATTGTGCACCGTCCTGTGGTCTGGGCTGGTAGAAAAAGGTTGGCAAGTACAACAAGTGCAGCAAAAGCCGATTGATGAACGTCCTCTGGGTGCACGTACGGATGCGCCTTTGAAGTCACCCAGAGATTTGAGGAGATATGTGTGTCACTCTCGGACCTCTCCGAGGATGGTTGCTGCACGCTAGGCTTTCTGTCCTCCGAGTTGCTTTCTGCTTGGTTTTTCTCTTGTGGGGGGGGGGGGGGACAAAACAATGCTGCAACGCCGCAACGCCACAACACCCTGGATTTCCCGCCGCGTTGGGCTCGGTCCTGCGCGGCCTGCTCTCCAAGTGCCGGCCTGAAGTTGAAACACATCCAGAGTCTGGGCATTCTGGATATCTGAGGGACCAGCCAGTGAGTTTGCTGCAAGACTGGAGCTTCCTGGCTGTCGCTCGAACTGTCCAAACTGTCAAACCGACAGTGTGCCAGCGCGCCTTGCCAGGACCTGCAAGGGAAAAAGAGAATAAACAGGTGCAGCGGGCCCACTGCCCAAACCTGGCCTGTTGCAGGTGCAGGCGGTCCCTTAGCGTGCCCAGGGAGGTAGAATTCTCAACATGCCTTGGGTCCCGCGCGCTGGCCTGCGCACCCCTGCACCAACAACGTGAGGAATGCAGAGTGCTCAAGCTTCACAGGCCTTGACCCCACAGTGCGGAAGTCGAACAAGCTGCGCAGCATCGAAGCTGCCTTCGTGTGTTCCGTAAGATTGACAAAAACAAAGACAAGCTGCAATGCCTCCCGCTCTAGGATTGCCATTCGAGCTGCCGCTGGCCCGTCAGAGGCCTGATGTCTGACGCATGCGTCAAGCAATCCGCTGGGTCACCTGGCCTGGGAAGTTGTTTTGACAGCCCGGGCAAGGTCATAGGCATCTGTAACCTCAGACCAGTATCAGCTCATGCCATGATGGAACAAACTGGCTGCATGCATCGCTCAACAGGCCCATAGCGCTCGCAAGAACATGTTCTGCGTGGCTTAATCTGGAGGCACCCGGGCCAGGAAGGGCAGGACAATCCTACGCAAACCCAGCTGCACGAGGGGATACATTAAGGCATACAAAGCTAAAATGCCCGTCATGGCCACTGCGGGACTGTGTTGAGTTAGCACACTGCCTGCGTAGAGTGGGCCAATCACTCCTGCCAGTGCATCAACCGCCTTCTCCAAGTCCAACACGTCACCTGCGCCATCTGCAACTTGCAGTTGCCTGCAAACCTGCAAGGCCACTTCCTGCTGGAAGTCATTCAGCAAAGTCGCCGCCAAAATGGAAAGCAGCAAAGACGGAAGCAAGATGCAGGCATTAGTTGCCAGAAAGGCGGTACAGCGGCTAACTGCCAAGGTTGCAAATGCCAAAAGCACCATCCGCTGAAGGCCCCCATGTTGTTGCACAAGGGGACTGGACTGGGCACGCAAAGAGCGCGAGAGCTTGATGCCTAGCAGCTCTCCAATACAACTCAGCGTGCCAATCCCAGCCAGTAACCGAGGTTCTGCACCGAAGCGTGCCGACAAGTTTGAGCACACCATCAGATTGAACGCATAGAAAGCGAAGGCAATCATAAAACGCCAAAATAAGACAAACAGAACTGCAGATCTTGCCGCGGGCACTTCAGCCAAGCTAAGCAGACTTTGCCAAGTCTGCTTTGGTCTGCTAGGCTCTGCAGTGCTCAATACCCCGTATGTGACCAGCAGCGGCATTGCCAAAGCTGATACTGCAGCAGACAACCAGGCTGCTTCCCTCAAGTCAAGCGCTGCCAATATGCCAAGCCAAGGTCCAAGTAGCAGAGCCAGCCGACTTGCTGCCAAGCAGTTTGCATCCGGCATCTTGGGTGAGTCCCCATTGCCCCCCGTGTGGAGGATGGCATCCACGCTTCCAAACCACAGGTTCTGTTGGGCGAAGAGGGCTGATGCGATCATAGCAGGCAGGCAAAGCTTAGTCGTCATTCCCAAGTCCGCAAGAATACTCGCAGCATGAAATCCCACAAGCGCGCTGAAGCCCAAGGAAGATTGCAAGGCTGGACCTCAGCTCATGTGCATTGAATGCACGCTCCGTCAGTCAAGGCAAAAAGGTCATGCAACTTCCCAACAAAGCAAAGACTGGCTTTGTGGCAAAGGGGCATGCCAAGCTCCCCAGAAAATGGTTCAGGGAACAAGCAGCCGCAATTCTGCCCTGGCAGCCGCTGTCGCAAAGCATTGACACCTCCATGTGCCGCAAAACGAAGGGACCGCGTGCGGCATGGCAAAGCGTGACAACATGTATAAACACCGGGCCCAGCAGCGCAGCCAGCAGCGCAGCGGTTTGGCTCCCATTGCCTTCAGGCACCATGCTACTTGGAGCCATATGGCTGCCAAAAGTGCATTGACGCTGCCTCTGTCACCTTCGGCACGCTACTCTGGCACGCTTGGAGTCCCACATGCACAGCCGGGAAGCCGTGTGCTTGAATGTACTCATCCAGCGACTTGCACTCGCCTTCGGCGCACAGATTCATTCGCGATGCCAAGCACAGGCTGGCTTCAGACTGGAATCATGCTGCAACACCAACGGCAGCTCTGCCCCCCGGCCTCGAGACAAAGATCTCCTATTGACAGGATCTATCAGCTGCCCACTGGAGACCAAGAAGGATGCTAAGAACCTGCACATCGCGGTGAGAAACGAAAAACAAGCACGAAACAAAAAAGCACAAACAGTGAGGTTCAATGCTTGTCAGCGCTTAAGTTCCAAGCATGCCATCAAACCAGTGAACTGCTTGTTGCTGGTTGTTTCCTTGGTCTCTCTCACTCTCTCCCAGTCTTGTTTCTCTCTGCCTCTCTCTCTCTCTCTCTGGCTTTGTCACATCTCCGCGCACCCACAAACTCCAAGCAACCAAGTTGGTCTCAGAGCACTGCGCACCATCATTTCTCCAGCTTTGCCCCAAATCCCTTCACTTGGAAGGGCCTCCAGCATCTGCAGAGTTCCATGACATTTGGCAACACTGCACAGCCTCGTCGTTCTCGCTGGTCCCGAGCCTTTCGTGCAGGACACAGGTGGCAATTCATGCAGCACGACATGCTTAGGTTCAAACAGTCCAAATGGGTCCACCGAAAGTTCCTGCGGAATGACAGAACTACAGAATTCTGAGAAATGCTTTGGCCCTCACACAGTTGCCAATGACTTTCTGCACAAATGGAGTTAGCGCTCGCGTTCCTCGAGTTGGGTCAATGAAATGGGACAGCAATCGCCCACCAAATCCTTCCACCTGGGAAATACGCCACACTCTTCACCAGTAACTTGCATATTTACTCTGAGACCGCACCATCTCACCGTTCCAGGCGGAGGGATATATTTGAAGGCAGCCTTGCGTTCAAAAAATGTGGCAAGCTGCAGTGAAGGCCCGGCTCAAACATACCAATCTAAGCGGGCAACTTCTGCAGCCATCGCCATTCCGTTGGCAGTGGATGATGATGAATTGCCTTGACCTAGGCTTGGCATGACAAGCACACTTGCTGACAGTTGCAAACCCAAACTCGCCATGCTGCAAAGCTGGAGCAACAATTGCTGAAACCCTGATTAGCTTGTCTGCCAAATTGACCTCCATGGTGGAACGCTGCACTCTAGTTCTCGCAATAAAGTGCTAGCGCTGGCTTCCAGGTGTTTGGAGAAGCGTAGTTCATGATGCGACCTCCACTTATCACACAAGCTGGTATTGAAATCAGACTTGCCACTGGCAAAGAACAACAAGCAGCTGAGCAAGTGCTAAAGAAGAACGTGCCAACTGCAAGCCTGGTAGCTGCCTACATCACAAAATCCCCCGACACTAGAAGAGCAAACCCTGCAACTGAGAGATGTGAGAAGAGCAAGGGCAAGAGCAAAAGAGAAAGAGAAAAAGGAGAGAAAGACGAAGAACAGGCACAGGCCAAGAGAGGTGGAGACGAGAGACAGAGGGACCAAGAATCAGGGACGAAGAGACAGAACAAACTGAACCATCCATCCCTAAACCAACCTTAAGGTAACCCTACAATCCAACCTAAGAAAACACCAAACGCCAAGCCTATTCTAGCCGCATTCACAAGCCTCCTTAACCCAAGACAAACCTGAGCCGAGAGAAAGCGAGATGGAGAGGAGATGCGACACTTCATTTTGGGATGGTGTGCAACCAGTTCATGATTGGGTAGCCTGTGGGTGCAAACCTGGTTCGGGGTAAGATTTGGTAGATCATGGTGGGTCTAGGGTGGAGACAAGGTTGAAAATTGGTTTTCGGATGCTTTTGGGTGGAGCGAAACTTAGCTCAGTGGCTACCCCAGGCTGGATTAGTCTGCTTGGTTTGTTGGTTTTGGGTGAGCTTCGGACTGTTTGAGTTTGTGTTTTTTTCTTTATCTTTTTGTTTATGTTTTGGTTTGGGGATGTATTTTGTTGGTGTGGTCAAGTTGAGTGTGTCAGGGGCTGGTTAAAGCTTGGTTCATGGACGCTCCTTGGATTGAGACGCGCCTTGGATTGCCTCTTAGGCGCACCTTGGCTTGCTCCTTGGACTGCTTTGGGGGAACAGGGGCGGACCCGAATAAAGTTGAGCTTGGCTCTCAAAGAAAAGAAGACTTTTAATTGCGCCCTCTATAGGGAGCCTTGACACCATGAGAACAGTCACAAGGATCTCACGCTCAGACAGTGATGCAGGGCTGCACAAGCGGTGCTTGGACTTGCCTTGAAGGTGGTGCAAACTTCATCGAACCTCGCGACCCTAAACCCTGACCACTGTTCAATGTGTTTTCCATGCTCTTGGCTTCAAAGCGATTTTTGGGGTCGTGTTGGTCGGGCTTTGGCTGGGCTTTGGGATATGCAAGATTGATTCAGGGATGGATTTGCTTCAGAAGTGTGGTGCATACCCGACATGTTCCGTTCAGCTGTTTCATGGAACATCGAAGACGTTTCCCCGAGCCCAGCCTTTCGCGCTTGCTGCTCCGGCTGCTCCGGCGGCTGCGGGCGCTCCGGGCGCTCCGGGCGCTCCGGGCGCGGCAGCTCCAGCTCCGGCTGTTCCGGCCGGGCGCGGAGGCGCCGAGGGTCCAACTCGGCGCTCGATTCGGCTTTCCAAAGACAAGGCTGGCATAGGCAAACAAGGCATGTTGACAGCGCAAGCCAGCCGAAAAGCCAAAGTCAAAGGAGTCAAAGGGAACAAAACAAACAGCCCCTAAAATGGATCCGGAAAAGAACAAGCTGAACTGCCCCCAATGCCTCCATAGCCGCGTTGTGTTGCCCGCGTTCTGACAACCTCAAGTTGACAGCGCCTCTTGCCAGAATTCCGAACCAAACTGAGCTCTCAGCAGTGGCAACTCCTGCGATTATGTCGCGCCCCAGGGCTTGGCCTTCCACCTCGATCTGAGCATCCGTGCCAAGTTACATGGGAAAGGCCAACCTTCCCACGGAATTCAATTGCGACCTAGATGCCCGAACTTGCTCCGCACCCAAGCCATCTCCGTCACCATACGCCAGAAAAGACACCTGACCAATGAATCGCTTGCGTCATCACTCAAACTAATTCAGTCCTTGTCTTACACCCTTGCATCACTCAAACTAATTCAGTCCTTGTCTTACACCCTTGCACCCAGCTCAGTGATGCACTCGAGAATTCTCCGACAGTTCTTGACGCCCTTCTACATCAGAAATGTGCACCTGTCTGCAAAACACTCAACTTCCACAAATGTGTCCTTTCGGGCTGCGCTTGCTGATTTCGAGGCCAGCGTCTGAGCCACAGGCATACACACGCCCACCATGCTTGGCCTCGGCAGAAGGGATTATTGTGTTCCTAGGTTCGGCGCGGTTTTTTTCTCTGGGTTCGGCGGAGCGGTCCCGACCCAAAGCTGCAGAGGGTTCCCATTTTCGAAGAAGTTTGTTCCCAAAACGCGGCAAAGTCCGCAGAGGGTAGACTTGTTCGAAGAAGTTTGGTCGCAAAAAGCTACAAACTCAGCAGAGGGTTCACAGTTTCGACGAAGTTTTTTTTTGTAGTTTGGGTTGTTTCGTGCTGGTTTGGGGTGGGTTGCTAGCACTATCCTGGCAGTGGCGCTAGCTGAGGACGTGAAAAGCCAAAGCTACAACAAACCACAAAAGCATGCAAAAAGTATGCAAAAAAAACGCAAAAGCCAAAATGCACCCACCCACCGACCACCGACCGACCGACTGACCGGCCGACCGACTGACCTACCGGGCCAAGCGGGGACCCTTCCACAACCGGAAACAAAAACACTTGGGGCCCCTTGGCTTCAAGCCACCATCATTGCCAGCATGATACGCATCACCAACATTGCCACCTTATCAGCTGTCAGCATGGTCAACATCACCTGCACCGCCCGCACAAACCCCACTGCCGGGAATTCTACAGGTGTTGCTCACTACCCTTGCTTGGGCAGCTATCCAAGCGCAACACCCTTGGCCGCGGATTGCTTAGAACAAGACACAGGTGGGCATCACAAGCGACAACAAAAATCTCCCAAACCCCATCCCTTCCCCACCGCAGAATTGGTCCATCCGACCCCCCCTTTGCCCCGCGTTTGCTTTTTACACTGTTGACCATCATACAATCTACCATTTTGGCTCAAGGTTGTTCTTTACTTTGCGCAACCAGAACCATGTGCAGACCTTGCGGCAGCGCAGTAAGTCTCACCAATCCATCTACACACTGGGTCTGATCTGAAATAGATCCACGGGCCATCTGAGTTTCCTACCACAGCAGGGTTGAGATCCCCTGCTACCGCAGGACTTTCAGACAAGATCCGTCCAAAATGCTATGAGATGGAGAAGGCTTCATGAAGGCCTTCCACCGTGCAGGCCGACTTATTGGCAGCGCTGGCTCAGGTCTGGGCAACCTGTGCGATACCTGGATGCTTCAAGAACACGTTCCAGAAGCGCTTCGTGAAGGGTGCAACCAGTGCTTCCTGAAGGGTGATCCTCATGTTGAAGCTGTTGTTTGGAGTGAAGGCCATGATGGACATTGCGTCTCTCCCTGTTGGAACGTTAAGAAGTGCTTATGACGTCATCGACACATCTTCTTCTCCTGCTTGAAAGTGTCCACCTTGCTGACTGGTGTCATCCGGTGGCATCGGCTTGATTGCGGGTGCCTCTGCAAACAAACTGAGAACGGCTGAATACATGATGCCATGTCTTGGGGTCAAGGTCATTCCAATCGCATTTGTATGCGGGCATGGTCCAAATTGCTTGGCCGATGGCTGCGCACATCATTCGGCGGCAAGTGATCGGCGTGTTGATGTGACATGCGATGCGTGCCTTTAGTGGCTCTTCTTCAATCATCGACGACACTTCTCATCTTCGCGTCAAAGTTCGAGCAGCATGGAACAATTTGCCATGGCACAATCACCCGACATCCTCGCATCAGCGCAAGCTGCCAGAGCGCCGCCTATGCAGCTATACGCTGAAACAGCATCACGAACGATCTCCTCACGACAAGAAGCTGGTCCAAGCTGTCAGCACAACCCATCCCGGTCGTCGCGCATCGACGGGAATACCTCCAATTGAACATGTGTGGAAGACCTTTATTCCATTCCTGAACAAGCACATTGAAACTGTGCGTCAATTCAGCCACTGCTGCGCACTTACAGGACTGAAGGTCGGCACTTCTGTCAACATCAGAACAGGTTTCGATGCGATGACATCCAAGGGCCGACATGGAGAGCATTAAGAAGCATGCACCCAATGTCATCCCCTGGTCGAAAACGCGGCACAGTGAAGCTCCTGAATCATCTCTTCAATCATCCAGGGTCTGGTACTTGCGTCGCATGCAACAATTTTTCGCGGATACTTCCGTGACTTGGGGACACTTTCACTTCTGCGCTTGTGGACTGAAGGATCCTGAGTGAGATGCTTGAAGCCAACAAGCTTGCTTCACTGCTGACCTCCTGCGGTAGTGAAGCAAGTTTTCAGGAAATGCAAGAATTTCACAACACCAGCAAACCGCTCTGTCCGCAAACTGCAAAAGAGACTCAAGCAGTACCTTGTTGAAAAATGACGCACTGGCTGCACCCTTCAGGAAGCACTTCTGGAACATGTTCTTGAAGTAGTTGACTCTTTCAGGAAAAGATGTCTAGGGTTGCCCATATCTGAACCTAGGTCGGCCTGCGCTGCTGTAGGCCTTCATGAAGCCTTCTCCATCTCATAGCATCTTGGACGGCCCTTGTCTGACCGTCCTGCTGGTAGCAGGGGATCTCAACCCTGCTGGTCCGTGGATCTATTTCAGATCAGGCCCAGTGTGTCAGATGGATTGGTGAGACTTCATGCGCTGCCGCAAGGTCTTTTAGTAGGCACATGGCTCTCGATGCGCAAAGGGTAAGAGAAAAGAAGGGCAAACTTGTAGATTGTCCTTCAACATCGAAGTATTGCGCGGCAGCCATATTTCATATGTGCTCAGGCCGTTGGAAGTTAGATTGGTTTCGAATCGTGCCAAAATAGTCGCTGCTCTTTTGTGACACTTGTTGATTCGTCCAGAATTTACAAAGGTTTGTACAACTGTGTTGCAAAACGGTTGTAAATTCGCAAACTTGGGACTTCGCGCAAAGTTGGTGCCACGGATGCATCTTTGACGCTACGATGCATGCCTTAAAGGAAGGACAAGGTTGTCCTCTGTGAAACTATCGACTCCCTCGCTTCAGAAAACAGTTTTGTAGGCGATGAGGTTGCAATCATAATTGTCTTGTAGACAATGAAGTCATGAGAGCTGGTCTGTGGGAATGTCGATTGGTCGTTGATGTCTGTCGTTGTGCGTGTGAGAGTTGCAAATTTGCTGGAGTTTCTTCTTCTTGGCTTCGGAGAAGCTTTGCAATTAGACCGTCAAGGGTGCGTGCCAGTCCAAATCGCATTGTCCGTTCATGAGCACCACATTGGTGACAGTCTTGAAGTGCCCTGCAGTTGGCATCGAACTGATCTTTGTGTTTTTTTGGACATGCTGCATGATTCTGCCATGTGGCACTCTTGCTTATCCTTCGTCCAAGAACAAAGCCATGCAATCAGGAAAGGTCTCTGTCAGGGCGGCTTACACCGCTAGGCTCTCCAGCGGCACTTGAATCCGGGATACAACACCAACGCGCAATTGCCTGGCACGCGCCGGAAGCTTTCTCGACAAAGCCAATTGGAGGATGGTTTGCCGGGCCATGGGCCAGGCGCTCGCGGCCAAGGCTTTCCTTTCACGGGCGGAGGTGATGCAACTGCCGGTTCAAGATGTGGGAGGCTTGAAGGAGGAGATAATTTTCAGGGTATTGTATTTTCCCGCAGTGTTTGGATCTTTCAGATGTGTGACGCGCCAATAGCCCGACTCCTCTGATGCTCGGTTTCCACGGATGCGATGGGCCTTGCGCTCCGGGCCCGGGGTGTCAGGACTATGCCCTTGTATCCTGCATGGATGAAGGTTCTGAGGAGGTCCTTTGTTTTTTTCGTGGACGGCCGGATCAGCGAAGAAGAATGTGCATCGGCTTCGTTGGCACACAGGATATGTGCAGTCATCATCTTCACCTGCAGCTCCAAGATTCGCTGTGAACACATTGAGCGTTGAGGATGAGGTGTATGTCGTCTCGAAGCTGTGCTCGTGGGTCGGCTTGCTGGTTGACTGCAGCAAGAACCCAAGGATCTTCGATCTTCTTCCCCGAAGTGCGCTGGTCGATCTTCTTGATTCCAATGGGGAGCCTGATGAGATGGGACAGGTATTCGAATGTCTCGCTGTAGTAGAAAAAGTTCGTCTTTGGATTGACAATGTGCCAAAAAATCAGTCTCGCATGCGCTGAGGTCGGACTTGAGATGTCTGGGATCGCGCTGAAATTGATCCGGATCTTCTTGAATTCGTTCTTGATGTCTTCCAAGTGCCAAGAGACTTATCCAACAGCTTCTGGATGATGTCCCAGATATTGGATAGATCATAGAATGCCACGACCGTCTTTGTCTCGGCCGGTCGGTCATGAGAGGTCATTGACACTGCTGAGTCGAAATCATGATCGGATTGATCAAGTTCGGAGCAGAGCATCTTCTTTTCCTTGTTTCTGTTGTTGGTTTGCTCTCAAGGTATTGAGGAAACCATGAACTCGTCGATGTTTGTGGCTTCTCTTCTCTTCAACAGTTTTAATGGTTGAGTTGTGGACGCATTACTTGTCGGATGTGCAGGCGGCAATGATGTTCTAGGTAGGAATTGTCTCATTTGTGAGCGCCGGTGATCTTCATGTTGAAGCTGTTGTTTGGAGTGAAGGCCATGATGGACATTGCGTCTTTTCCTGTTGGAACGTTCAGAAGCGCTTATGACGTCATCGAGACATCTTCTTCTCGTGCTTGAAAGTGTCCACCTTGCTGACTGGTGTCATCCGGTGGCATCGGCTTGATTGCGGGTGCCTCTGAAAACGAACTGAGAACGGCTGAATACATGATGCCATGTCTTGGAATCAAAGTCATTCCAATCGCATTTGTATGCGGGCATGGTCCAAATTGCTTGGCCGATCTGGTTGCCAGAGGCTGCGCGCATCATCCGGCGGCAAGTGATCGGCGTGTTGATGCGACATGCGATGCGTGCCTTTACTGGCTCTTCTTCAATCATCGGCGACATTTCTCACCTTCGCATCAAAGTTCGAGAGCTTGCTGCGGAAGCTGAAGTCAGCATGGAACAATCTGCCATGGCACAGTCACCCGACATCCTCGCATCAGCGCAAGCTGCCAGAGCGCCACCTATGCAGCTATACGCTGAAACAGCATCACGATCTCCTCACAGCAAGAACATCATTCAAGACCCATCCACCAGTCTTCCAGGAGGCAACCGCGTTGGAGTGATAAAGGTTGGGGTAGGCCCCGCCGACAAGAAGCTGGTCCAAGCTGTCATCAATCCACAGCACAACCCATCCCGGTCATCGCGCATCGACGGGAATACCTCCAAAGTCCGCAGCCACAAATCCATAGCTTGAACATGTGTGGAAGACCTTTCTTCCATTCCTGAACAAGCACATTGGTACTGTGTGTCAGAAAAGAAAAATCTGCAGAAGTGCGAGCTTCAGCCAATGCTGCGCACTTACAGGACTAAAGGTCGGCACTTCTGCACTTCCGTCAACATCAGAACAGGATAGAACAGGTCTCGATGCGATGACATCCAACGGCCGACATGGAGATCATTAAGAAGCATGCACCCAATATCATCCTCTGATCGAAAACGCAGAACAGCCAAGGGAGTCACAGGAGGTATTTGTCATTGAAGCTCCTGAATCATCTCCTCAATCATCCAGGGTCTGGTTCTTGCTGCGTCGCATGCAACATTTTTTCGCGGATCCTTCCTGAGTGAGATGCTTGAAGCCAACAAGCTTGCTTCACTGCTGACCTCCTGCGGTAGTGAAGCAAGTTTTCAGGAAATGCAAGAATTTCACAACACCAGCAAACCGTTCTGTCCGCAAACTTCAGAAGAGACTCAAGCAGTACCCGAGAAGGTACCTTTTTCAAAAATGACGCGCGTTGGCATCGCATGTCGAAGTTGATGCCAACACGCCGATCTCTTGCCGCTGGATGATGCGCGCAGCCTCTGGCAACCAAATCGGCCAAGCAATTTGGACCATGCCCGCATACAAATGCGATTGGAATGACTTTGATCCCAAGACATGGCATCATGTATTCAGCCGTTCTCAGTTCGTTTTCAGAGGCACCCGCAATCAAGCCGATGCCACCGGATGACACCAGTCAGCAAGGTGGACACTTTCAAGCACGAAGAAGATGTGCCGATGACGTCATAAGCACTTCTGAACGTTCCAACAGGAAAAGACGCAATGTCCATCATGGCCTTCACTCCAAACAACAGCTTCAACATGAAGATCACCGGCGCTCACAAATGAGACAATTCCTACCTAGAACATCATTGCCGCCTGCACACCCGACAAGCAATGCGTCCACAACCCCAACCATTAAAACTGTTGAAGAGAAGAGAAGCCACGAAAATCAACGAGGTCAACTACATTGAGAGCAAACCAACAACAGAAACAAGGAAAAGAAGATCCTCCGAACTTGATCAATCCGATCAGGATTTCGACTCAGCAGTGTCAATGACCTCTCATGACCGGCCGGCCGAGACAAGGACGATCGTGGCAATCTACGATCCATCCAACATCGGGGACATCATCCAGAAGCTGTTGGATAAGTCTCTTGGCAATTGAAAGACATCAAGAACGAATTCAAGAAGATCCTGAATCAATGTCAGCAAAATGCCAGTCATCTCAAGTCCGACCTCAGCGCGTGCGAGACTGATTTTTTGGCACATTGTCAATCCAAAGACGAACTTTTTCTACTACAGCGAGACATTCGAATACCTGTCCCATCTCATCAGGCTCCCCATTGGAATCAAGAAGATCGACCAGCACACGTCGGGGAAGAAGATCGAAGATCCTTGGGTTCTTGCTGCAGTCAACCAGCAAGCCGACCCACGAGCACAGCTTCGAGACGACATACACCTCATCCTCAACGCTCAATGTTTTCACAGTGAATCTTGGAGCTGCAGGTGAAGATGATGACTGCACATATCCTGCGTGCCAACGAAGCCGATGCACATTCTTCTTCGCTGATCCGGCCGTCCACGAAAAAAACAAAGGACCTCCTCAGAACCTTCATCCATGCAGGATACAAGGGCATAGTCCTGAGACCCCGGAGCGCAAGGCCCATCGCATCCGTGGAAACCGAGCATCAGAGGAGTCGGGCTATTGGCGCGTCACACATCTGAAAGATCCAAACACTGCGGGGCAACATACTACCCTCAAAATCATCTCCTCCTTCAAGCCCCCACATATCTTGAACCGGCAGTTGCATCACATCCGCCTGTGAAAGGAAAGCCTTGGCCGCGAGCGCCTGGCCCATGGCCCGGCAAACCCTCCTCCAATTGGCTTTGTCGAGAAAGCTTCCGGCGCATGCCAGGCAATTTTGCGTTGGTGTTGTATCCCGGATTCAAGTGCCGCTGGAGAGCCTAGCGGTGTAAGCCGCCCTGACAAAGACCTTTCCTGATTGCATGGCGGCATTTGTTCTTGGACGAAGGATAAGCAAGAGTTCCACATGGCAGAATCATGCAGTATGTTCAAGGAACACAAAGATCAGTTCGAAAAATGACTTCGGGTTGCAAATTTGCCGAAGTCTCTTCTTCTTCGCTTCGGATAAGCTTCGCAATTAAACCATCAAGGGTGCGTGCCAGTCCAAATCGCATTGTCCGTTCATGAGCACCGCATTGGTGACATGCTTGAAGTGCCCTGCAGTTGGCAATGACGAATCTCACACGCACAATGACAGGACATCAACGACCAATCGACATTCTCACAGACCAGCTCTCATGACTTCATCGCCTACAAGACAATTATGATTGCAACCTCATCGCCTACAAGACTGTTTTCTGAAGTGAGGGAGTCGATAGTTTCACAGAGGACAACCTTGTCCTTCCTTCAAGCCATGCATCACATCGTCAAAGATGCAACCGTTTCAGGCGCAACTAGGCACCAACTTTGCGTGAAGTCCCAAGTTTGCGAAGTATTACCATTTTGCAACACAGTTGTACAAACATTTGTAAATTCTTGACGAATCAACAATTTTGGCTCCAGACCCTTCTTTTCCTTTACCCTTTGCACATCGAGAGCCATGTGCTTGCCAAAAGACCTTGCGGCAGTGCATTACAGAAACAAAGAGATCAATACAATAGCTAGGGACAATCCATAGTCTGACCAATCCATGTGCGACACAGTGGGGTTGACCTGAAATAGATCCACAAGCCACTTGAGTTTGGAGCCCCCCACCACCATGTTGCACGGCATACAATCCCGGTTACCGGTCAAATTCCCTGAATAGTTTCAAAGGGGCCCTGGAAGCCGAAAAACAGTCTGGAATTCGCAAAGTCCCGCCCTTTCCAGTCCGCATGGTATCTGCACAGTTGCTGCATCGCACTGTGAATGACCGGCATCATCATTGTCCAACTCCAGTCCAGCCAGTCAGCACCGCATGAGGCCAGCTTGGAGCCGGGCAGCCTCTTCATGATTGATCCTCTTTTCTGGGCGGATCCATCCAAAGCGGCCCTTCCAAGACAGCACCTGGCTGCAAAAACTGCTCTCGGAATTGCGCAAACTTTAAAGTGTGCGAAACATGCCAGGTTGGCAGTGCCTGTGAACCGGTTCTCTGAGACCCGGGTCCTGGACCTCAAGGGTAATGCGAATCCAAGTTTCACAGCTGAACCCTGTGCACCCGACCCCATAAAGCACCTCAATGGCTTCAAAGGCGAAACGCCGTGCACACTAGCAGAGCCACAAAACTACGCCACACAAACCTCAGATCTTGACCAAGATGGCACTGGCTCTGTACAGGACAAAATTGAAGTGTACAACTCAAGTCCGCAACTTAAGCATCAAGTCAAGAGTTTGTCCTAAGCTTTTGTGGTCTCGAAACTAAGGTTTTGGACTCGGCGCCTGGGCTGTCATCACTCAAATCAAAGTGTGTACCTTCTTGAGCTCGGCGTTTACTGCATGTTGATCTGATCTGAAAAGCGTTCCGCATCACTCTCCTGATCTGAGGATGGCAGTGTGGCTGCAGCGTCTCAAAACATGACACCTCCAACCAAATTGACAAAGGTCGTTGCAAATGTCCGCGCGCTCGCCCAACGTGCATCCCTTGTCCATTTTGCGCATGCTTGGCACTACCCATCATAGCACCGCGTAGGACACACGAATGTTGCCTTGCTTTGCTTGAATCTTCTTGATGGTCACCTGATTGCAGACAGCCTTCCAGACTGCACATTAAGGAAACACAGCCTCGCCAATCTCGCTGCTGAGCTCCACGTGGGTACCACCACATCCACATGACACCCCGTCCTCAGGCTAAAGCGTGGACAGCCCAGGTGTGCAACAGCAGGGCAAGGTTCCATGATGTTCCTGCCTCTGCTTCTGGAAAGATTTTGAAAACCTCGCGGAGCTGTGGCCCTTGCCATGGTGATGGTGCGCATTCCATTAACAAAGCCAACCTCTGTGGCAACCTCAGTCGCACAACAGCTACAGCTTGCAAACAAACCAGCGCCATCTGCTGGGTTGCCAGCTTTTTTGGCTATGAGCTCTTTCATCTTATCTGCCTTGCTTGTAGCCACAATCTTCAGGGGGGGTGGGGGGTGGCAAGGGCTGGACCATCTCTGCCATTGCGACATCTTTGGCTTTGGCGTCCTTCATGTCCAACTGCCGGCCGTCCTGTTTATCGTGCTGTTCTTATCTTCTTGCATGGTGCGCAAACAGGCTCTAACAATGCTAAAATATCTTACGTAAATGCTTCACACACCGGGCTGAACGCTGTGGCAACATGAAAGTCCTTGGATGGGATGTACTCCACGTATGGCCTAAAGAAAAAAGACATTTCCGAACAAACAAAGTGGCATCCGGGAACCGAGCATGCGATCGTGAAGCGACACAAGCCAACATTCGGGTCTTGGAGTCTTTGAGACAATACTGCCGAGGGTTGGTGGCCTTTGATCACCGGCTAAGGGATCAAAAAAAAATTAATTCAGGATCAAAAAAAAATTAAATTCTGTAGTAGTAGTAGTAGTAGCAGCAGTAGTAGTAGTAGTAGTAGTAGTAGTGGTAGTTGTAGTAGTGATAGTAGTGGTAGTAGTAGTAGTAGTAGTAGTCGTAGTAGTAGTAGTAGTAGTAGTGATAGTAGTGGTAGTAGTAGTAGTAGTAGTAGAGTAGTAGTAGTAGTAGTAGTAGTAGTAGTAGTAGTAGTCGTAGTAGTAGTAGTAGTAGTAGTAGTAGGTAGTAGTAGTAGTAGTAGTAATAGTAGTAGTAGTAGTAGTAGTAGTAGCAGCAGTAATAGTAGTGGTAGTAGTAGTGGTAGTAGTAGTAGTAGTAGTAAGTAGTAGTGGTAGTAGTAGTAGTAGTAGTAGCAGTAGTAGTAGTAGTAGCAGTAGCAGCAGAAGTAGTAGTAGTAGTAGAAGTAGTAGTAGTAGTAGTAGTAGTAGTAGTAGAGTAGAGGAGTAGTAGTAGTAGTAGTAGTAGTAGTAGTAGAAGCAGTAGTAGTAGTAGGTAGTAGGTAGTAGGTAGTAGGTAGCAGGTAGTAGGTAGTAGGTAGTAGTTAGTAGGTAGTAGGTGGTAGGTAGTAGGTAGTAGGTAGTAGGTAGTAGGTAGTAGGTAGTAGGTGGTAGGTGGTAGGTAGTAGGTAGTAGGTACTAGGTACTAGGTAGTAGGTAGTAGGTAGTAGGTAGTAGGTAGTAGATAGTAGGTAGTAGGTAGTAGGTAGAAAGAAAGCAAGCAAGAAAGAAAGAAAGCAAGCAAGAAAGAAAGAAAGAAAGAAAAAAGAAAGACAGACAGACAGACAGACAGAAAGAAAGAAAGAAAGACAGAAAAATATGGATGCCCTGCAGCAGGGTCTAGGCTGGTAGGTAGGGAAAACACAGCAAAGCCTCACTGCGCATGTATGTGTGTACAAATATCTATATCTATATATTATAAATACATATGTGTGTTTCTATGTGTGTATGTATATATGTGTGTATGTATGTGTGTATGTATGTATGGATGGATGTATGTATGTAGGTATGTATGTATGCGTGTATGTGTGTATGTGTGTACGTATGTCTGTATGTGTGTACGTATGTATGTCTGTATGTATGTATGTATGTGTATGTGTGAATGTACGTATATGTGTGTGTATGTACGTACGTATGTATGTCTGTATGTATGCATGTGTCTACGTATGTGTGTGCGTGTGTGTGTGTACGTGCGTGTGTGTGTGTGTACGTATGTATGTATGCGTGTACGTATGGATGTCTGTATGTATGTATGTGTGTGTGTGTCTGTGTGAATGTACGTATGTGTGTGCATGTACGTACGTATGTATGTGTATGCACGCGTGTATGTATGTGTCTACGTGTGTGTGTGTGTGTGTGTGTTTGTTTGTGTGTGTTTGTGTGTGTTTGTGTGTTTGTGTGTGTGTGTTTGTGTGTGTGTGTTCGTGTGTGTGTTTGTGTGTTTGTGTTTTTGTGTGTTTGTGTGTGTGTTTGTGTGTGTGTGTGTGTTTGTGTGTGTTTGTGTGTGTGTGTGTTTGTGTGTGTTTGTGTGTGTGTGTGTGTTTGTGTGTGTGTGTGTTTGTGTGTGTTTGTGTTTGTGTTTGTGTGTGTTTGTGTGTGTGCGTGTTTGTGTGTGTGTTTGTGTGTGTGTGCGCATGTGTGTGTGCATGTGTGTGTGAGAAGCGAAATGAAATTCAACTGAAATGAAATGAAATGAAATGAAAATGAAAACATAACGAAATTGAATCATAATGAACCGAAATGAAACGATGACAATTTGAATGAAAGACTGAAGGAACGAATGAATGAGTGAATGAATGAATGATTGAATGAACGAATGAATGAATGAATGGATGAATGGATGAATGAATGAATGAATGAATGAATGAATGAATGGATGAATGGATGAATGAATGAATGAATGAATGAATGATTGAATGAATGAGTGAGCGAGTGAGTGAGTAGGAGAGGCCATCTGAGATTCTGCAGCCTTCGCCGTGTCAAGCAACAAGCCTTTTCTTTGCAATTTCGGGCCCAGCTCCACTGACAAGACCTTGGACGCTGTGCACCTGCTGCCGTGCAAAGTTGTTCGCGGTCTCTTCCCTGCTCTTGCACCGAGGTCGTTCCCGGCAATGTCCTCGCGCGAGTGCAAGAATGAGGCCTGCCCTCACCGCTGAGCGTCGTGTCCTGAGCAAACTTGCATTGCCAGAGGTGCCACCAAAGCGTTCGGCGTGGGCCGACATGTGTGACGAGGCACTTGGCGTCGGGTGATGTGGAAGTGTGCCAAAACAAAAGTAGGAGCCGTGTTTCTAACAGGAATCCCAAAGCAAGCTAGCCACTTGTGTCCACTTGTAGGGGGCCACGTGTGACACATCCCCAAATTGCGTTTCTGTGCCAAGAGGCAGCCCCGGTACTCAACAAACATGAGTTCGTGTCCTCTGGGCTCAGGAGCAGTCTCAGGACGATTGGGAGGCCTTGCTAAGGGAAACAGGGCTGAGGTAAATTGCTGGCCCTGCGCTCCAGATCTCCCTCCGCTGGAAACACTGCAGGACAGGCGTCGCTCGATATAGTGTTGCCCAAATTGACTGAAAGACTGTGCGCACGCGTGTCATCCTACCAAGGAGGATGGATCTTGGGCAGAAGTGCAGACTGAAGAGGAGGCCCTAGCGTTGCGGCAATGTTTTGTGTGGCGAGCAGCTTGCCAACACACCGTATCCTGCGTTTTGCCACTTGCCTGCAGCGCCCGGAGTGCAGGTTCGAGCTCAGGACGCTGTAGCCCCAGACCAAAGCTGACAATTGTCCTTGAGACGAACTTTTTACCCAGAAAGTCGGACCCGCCTGATATTACATCCAATATTTGGGTTGAGGGCCATGCAGTCAGCAAATACAAAAATCATATCAGCTGGGTCTGACTTCCTGGGTCCAAGCCTCGCCCTTTTGCGGCTGAACGCGCTGTTCTGAGTGCTGAGGCGACCGACGCAGAGGCAAAGCTCGGCGCTGCAGAGGAGGCGCTTGCAGTGAGAGCGCAAGCTGCGAAGGGATAGTTTCTTTCCCCAACGCTTCAGGGTTTTACGTGTCAACGGCAGGTGCTTTTTTCGAGGTTTTGAGCTGCCCGTTCATTTGCCCTTTGACGCGCTGCCCAGGATGATGTTCTGGAGGGAAACGCTGACAAAGTGGAGCTGAAGGCAGGCTGCTGGTCATGTGTGTTTTGCCCTCGCGCGCGCTGGCGCACCTGGAGGCATTGAGTGGCGCACGTGCACGGCGCTCCAAGCTAAGTTTGCTGGCCTGCGCTGCGATCAGTGTCGCCTGTGTCGCTCAGCTTGCCCGCTGCCTGAACAGTGCGCGGCCGGTGCCATACGCCGTGCCCGCGCTGATGCCTGCCCCAATGTTCCCCGCAGATGATGGCTGACCACATTCCCCTGAGCCCGCCTTTCCTGCCACACACTCGGCAGTCAAACGATGAGACCTGCAAAGGCGCTGTCCTGCCACACTAAGCTGTTGGCCTGCCGTTTCCTCAGCTGTTGTTGGCGCAAGCTGTTGGCCTGCTGTTAGCAGTAGCCCTTGCTGGGAAGGAAGCCTTCAAGTCAGAAAGGAAACGCGCGCGGCGCTCGAAGCTGAGATTGCTGGCTTGCGCTGCGGTCAGTGTTGCCTGTGTCGTTCAGCTTGGCCGCTGCCTGAACAGCGTGCGGCCGGCGCCATATGCCGTGCCTGCCCTCATGCCTGCCCTCATGCCCGCCCCAATGTTCTTCCTGCAGATGATGGCTGACGACCTTCCCCCGAGCCCGCCTTTCCTGCCACACTCTCGCCCCCCTTCTGCGCCGCCTCGGCAGCAAAGGCCCTGGCCGCCCACAACATTGATACCCGCAAAGGCCCTGGCCGCCCACACTCTGCTGTGCCTTTCGTTACTTTCTTTCAAAGTTGGTGCCGTTGCATAGTGTTGTTTCCTCAGGTGTTGTTGGCACAAGCCGTTGGCCTTCTGTTGGCAGCATGCCTCGCTGCGAAGGCAGCCTGCAAGTCAGAAAGGCAAGTGTTGAAGGCAAAGGCGCTCATGTGCGTGGCCATGATTTTCATTCAGCGTGCGGACACATTGTTGCGTTCACACCCAGCTTTCTCGTTGGCTCAATCACGCAGGATACGGTGTGTTGGCAAGCTGCTCGCCACACAAAACATTGCCGCAACGCTAGGGCCTCCTCTTCGGTCTGCACTTCCGCCCAAGATCCATCCTCCTTGGTAGGATGACACGCGTGCGCACAGTCTTTCAGTCAATTTGGGCAAAACTATATCGAGCGACGCCTGTCCTGCAGTGTTTCCAGCGGAGGGAGATCCTGGAGCGCAGGGCCAGCAATTCTACCTCAGCCCTGTTTCCCTTAGCAAGGCCTCCCAATCGTCCTGAGACTGCTCCTGAGCCCAGAGGACACGAACTCATGTTTGTTGAGTACCGGGGCTGCCTCTTGGCACAGAAACGCAATTTGGGGATGTGTCACACGTGGCCCCCTACAAGTGGACACAAGTGGCTAGCTTGCTTTGGGATTCCTGTTAGAAACACGGCTCCTACTTTTGTTTTGGCACACTTCCACATCACCCGACGCCAAGTGCCTCGTCACACATGTCGGCCCACGCCGAACGCTTTGGTGGCACCTCTGGCAATGCAAGTTTGCTCAGGACACGACGCTCAGCGGTGAGGGCAGGCCTCATTCTTGCACTCGCGCGAGGACATTGCCGGGAACGACCTCGGTGCAAAAGCAGGGAAGAGACCGCGAACAACTTTGCACGGCAGCAGGTGCGCAGCATCCAAGGTCTTGTCAGTGGAGCTGGGCCCGAAATTGCAAAGAAAAGGCTTGTTGCTTGACACGGCGAAGGCTGCAGAATCTCAGATGGCCTCTCCTAGCTCTTCCTTCCTAACCTATTGCTGGTGTTTGCGATGGAGGGGGGGAAGAAAAGCCAGTTCTACTGATTGCGTGGATCACACACAGGCGCCGTCCCATGTCCACGCTAAACCGACCACTAAGTTCGAATAATAGTGTCCTGGCCGCGTGGAGCGTTTAATGGCACCTCAGGCTTCTCCAGCCACAAGCCCAGGAGAACACGTTGCTCAAGGATTGCTCAGCTCTTTCCTCAGAAGCATGTTCAAAAGAGCGTGGCCGGGGAAAAGGCTGAGGACGCAGGATGGACGCGCGCAGAGGCGTGCGGATGGGTGGATGGGCCCGGGCCGTGCGGCCTGACGGCATGCTCCCTCCCGCCATAGGCCTTCACGGCTGACCGCGTTTAGAGTTCAACATGCCGGCGCCCAGCTCTGCCAAAGTGGTGAGCAGGGTCTGCTGCGCCCCACCACCTGCGCCAACAAAGGACAATGATTGTCAAAGGCTGGCCCGCAGAAGGGCAACACAGCGTGACATCCTCGAAATGCAAGGCGGCCCTATTGCCGCTGCCCGTCGTGATCACTCACAGAGGTACTAAGCCACAACCACACCCGGTGAATCTAAAGAAGGTGCGCTGTCCATCCACTACCTTCCACTCACCCTCGTGAAGTTAGGGTGTTGGCAGCAGCTCGCACCAACTTCTTTCGAGCCACCCTGCAACAGGGTCTAGGCTGGTAGGTAGGCCGACACCGCCTGTGTGTATGTATGTATGCATGTACGCATGCATGAATGTATGTATGTATGTTTGTTTGTTTGTTTGTTTGTTTGTTTGTTTGTTTGTTTGTTTGTTTGTATGAGTGTGTGTGTGTATGTATGTATGTATGCATGTATGTATGTATGTATGTATGTGTGTATGTTTGTTTGTTTGTTTGTATGTATGAGTGTGTGTGTGTGTGTGTATGTATGTATGTATGTATGTGTATGTATGTATGTATGTATGTATGTATGTGTGTATGTATGTATGTATGTATGTATGTATGTATGTATGTATGTATGTATGTATGTATGTATGTATGTATGCATGCATGCATGCATGTATGTATGTGTGTGTGTGTGTGTGCCTGTTTGCGTGTGCATTTATGTGTGTATATGCATGTATGTACGTATGTACGTATGTATGCATGCATGTGTATGTAGTATGTAGTATCTAGTATGTGTGTGTGTGTGTATGTTGGTAGGTAGGTATGTACGCGTGCGCGCAGCCATGCTGATCGGACTCCGTGATTCCGTGATTCATCTCAACGCGACCCCCCCCCCCCCAAACTGTGCTGGATTGTTAAGTGGCTAACTGGCCCTCCCCCCGATTGCTAACTTGTTAACTTCCCCCCCCCTGCTAGATTGTTAACTTGCTAACTGGCCCTCCCCCGTGGCTAACTGGCCCTCCCCCCGATTGCTAACTTGTTAACTTCCCCCCCCCTGCTAGATTGTTAACTTGCTAACTGGCCCTCCCCCCCGATTGCTAACTTGTTAACTTGCTACCTGGCCTTCCCCCCGGAAGGAGTGCTGACTTGTCAACTTGCTGACTTCCGCCCCCCCTCGCCCCCTCCCCTCCGACTTTGCTAACTTGCTAACTGGCCCTTCCCTCTCTCAGGATTGCTAACTTGCTAACTTGCTAACAGACCCTCGCCCCCCCCCCCCGAAGGATTGCTAACTTCTGAACTTGCTAACTGGCCCTCCCCCCCGAAGGATTGCTAACTTGTTAACTTGCTAACCCCCCCCCCCGACTTCATTAACTTGTTAACTTGTTAACTTGCTAACTGGCCCTCCCCCCCGAAGCATTGCTTCGCTAACTTGTTAACTTGCTAACCCCCCCCCCGCCACCGACTTCACTAACTTGTTAACTTGCTAACTGGCCCTCCCCCCTAACTTGTTAACTTGCTAACCCCCCCTCCCCCCCTCCGACTTTACTAACTTGTTAACTTGCTAACTGGCCCTCCCCCCCCCCCGAAGGATTGCTAACTTGTTAACTTGCTAACTGGCCACCCCCGGTTGGCCCTGGGGCCTACGTGTGTGTGCTTGTAAAACGGTTTAATTTTTTGTTGATCCTGATTTAATTTTTTTTTGATCCTGAATTGATTTTTTTTTGATGCGCATGCCTTGATCACCTGGCTTGGCCACGTGCAAATGCAAGATCTTGTGCGCCCTCACTAGTCCAAAGGCTTCGCTTTGTTTACTAGGAAGTGTCGCAAGGACAAAAGGGGCATGTGCAAGAAAGAGTTGAGGCTGCACTGGAACCCTACTGAAAAGAAACAATTCAAGGACACACAAAGTGCTGTGACTGATGGCTGACGTATTTGTGCAACTGAAGCTCGGGATGCAATCTCAGACCGGCTGGGCTGCGTGCCCGTCAGCAAAATGATAGCCTTTACCTGCAGGCTATTGCGTGACGTGGGACAGTTCCCTGTCCAGTCCCCTGCCTGGTTGCCAACGAAAACCCAAACCAAAGATTGCCACATCCTCAGATGTGTTTGCCGGACTCAGGCCTGGTAGCTTGCCAAGATCCAGGCCAAAAGATGACCGGCGGAATGCAACCTTGCGTTCGATCTTCGCGTCGACTCATCAACTTGACATGTCACTGTCATGCCTGCCAGTCATTCTGAGTTGAGGCTTTGAACAGCTGTTTGAACGTGCTGCACACCGCCTGCACCTTTCCGGAGCCATGCTTGCACATCACCTGCACACCACTAAGGAGGTGTTGCTGCAGTTGCTGCCAGCCTTCGCAGTCATGCCGAATAACACCTTCCTTGGCCTCAGTTGTGCGGTTGACATCGGAGCTATTTGATGAGGTGGGTGCCACCTAGCAATTGCCAAGGTCTGGGCCTTGTCTTTAGTGACAAAAGTCACGGCCAAGTTTGGCCTAAAGGCAATTGTCAGACTTGAACAATAAGCAAACAGGGACCTGCAAATGCAGTTGAGCAAAGGCATTGTTTGTACATTCCGGGCATACCACACGCTTTCCTACTGCTCATTTCATAGTAAATACGCGGAAGGGGGACAAAGTATCATCGAGTTGGGTTTGGCAGGGGTCAGGCCTTGTGTCTGACCTGCTGCAGGCATGCTTTTTGAAGCCATTTGATAAGCCTTGCTGAAACCACCCTGGGATTCCCACAGGCCATCAGCGCACAGCTGCCCTCTGTCACTGGGCTGACCTGGCACAAACATGCACAAACTTGCTGAAGAACAGCCCTCGCGTCTTTGCAGAAATTGAGAAACCGCCTCCTCCCTGAGGATGAAACACCGTTTGGTCCAACCTCACAGCACAAGCAGGAACGGCAAGAACCCCTGGCAATGGGAAAACTCCAAGGCTGGAGATCAGCTGCAAGTGATTTCTGGGCAACCGGCTCCACACCCAGCTTCCCCGTCTCCTGACAGGCTAGCACACATAGAATCCAAATCCCTCGCGAGCCCTGCCTCGAAAAAGTGCATGTCAAGAACGCAAGCACTGCACTGGAACACATAGGTTCCTTCCTCAGGACACAGCATCTTCAGCTTATCCTCTCAAACTCCATGCAAGACGTGTGGCCATGTATAAGGCACGCGTAGTTTGCGCAGCTGGTTGGGCTAATGCCTGGCACAGCTGCTCTCCGATTCCTTCAAACCAACTTGAGAATCTAGCATTCTCGGGTCGCATGTCTCGTGCTTGCGCTTCGCCACCTGACATGGTCAATGAGTCAGCGCGTGTCAAAAACACCATCACTCCCATAATGCATCCGTGTTTGGCCTCAAACCATGTGTTTCCCGCGATGGCAGTTGAGGAGAATAGTGCAAAAGCGGTATCTATGCCACTGCCGCGTGAGGATCTAAATTGGGATCGTAGTGCAGCGAGATCCTTTACAAAGCCTATGAAGAAGGAAGGGAACCGAATTGAGGACGGCTGGCCCACAGCTCGCTGCTGGAACGCTGCAAACGACGCAAACACAACACTCGTTGATGCCATCCGTGTTGCCAGGTGTTTCAGACGGAAAGGGTGGAAGGGGTTGAGAGGATAAGGCGAGCGCTTGGATGGTGGGGAGGTTGTTTCTTGTTTTGCTGGGTGTGTTAACTCCACCGGACCGAAAGCCGCACAAGGACAATGACCCACTCAAGCTTGAATCACACTTGCTTGCTCACTCCAGCCTTTTGAAGCTGAATCTGACACCCTGCCAGATGGCAGCGCCAAACATGCTGCGCCCTGGCAGCGGAGTTTGCAAGCAACGGAACTGTTGAACAAAGGTTTAAGGATCCGTCCAAATTTTGCCACAAAACCGCTCACTGCCTTCCGCAATGTCAGCGCTTGCTGGCAAGTGCTCTGCACCTCGACCGAGCAACCCAAAATTTGGCCCATGCCAACACTAAGATGGCAACGGGAAGCCCAATGTCGCGCAAGTGGCACAACTCCATAGCTGCGGCCGCGAGTGTGACCCGTGCCAAGCGCATCTAAATGTTCCATGCTGAAAGGAAACCTCTGGTAGGGCTCTGTTGGAAAGCATCCCCAAGTTTACAAACTGATCATTTTTGGCTGCTCTACGTCTACGGTGCGAGTAAGGTTTACGTGGCATGCCTCGTGGCTCAAGTTGTCTTGGCGGTTTTCGTCACGGCTTGTCCTTTCGAAGGTGAAACGGCACAGGTGGAAGGACTCACTGCTTCTTGTTTTGCCGGGCGCCGATCTTCTTCTCTGCCTGGTGCATGCCCGTGGTGTCAAGTCGGGATGCCAATCCCGATTGGCGCAAGAACCGAAGATGCTTCATTGAATCAAACAAATGCATTCATCAGGCACTGGCCTTGGCAACCTGCTGCGGTGTAAGCTTCACCTCAGCTTGCAAACAGCTCGGCAGGGCATGCAGAAAAGTCGAAATGCCCTGTATGTGCACGTGACAAAGCCTTACGCACCAAACCGACCAAACGACGAGGCTGCAGCAAACTCAAGGCGCGCATTTCCTTCCACCTGGGCTTTGGCAGCGACATTCGCCTGGCACGTGTGAAGCGTACCACCCTCCACAACGCAACCCAGGAAGGACTGCGTGGCCTCAGTCTTCTGCTCACATTTCTTGATGAAAGTTGCCGCTGCGGCCGCCACGCTGCCAGAGGACCTGAGCCAACAAACGTCGCTTTGACATCAACACTGCGCACAAAAAGAAAATAAAATAACATCGCAAGCGAGGTCGGCCCAACGCTGCTGCAGGATGCGTTCTTTTTCCCTACACGAAGCATTCGTGAAGCAAGCGCGAGACAGCACCAGGCAAGGTGCTTTGCGCAAACTGGTCGGTGCAAGTTGGTCTGCGCAAGTTGCTCTACGCAAGTTGCACTGTGCAAGTTGCTCGGCGCAAGTTGCTCCGCGCAAGTTGCTCCGTGCAAGTTGGTCCCTGCAAGTGGCTCCCTGCAAGTTGCTCTGTGCAAATTGCTCCGTGCAAGTTGGTCCCTGCAAGTTGCTCTGCTGTGCAAGTTGCTCTGCGTAAGTTGCTCTGCGCAAGTTGCTCTAGGCAACGCGCTCTGCGCAAACTGGTCGGTGCAAGTTGGTCTGCGCAAGTTGCTCTGTGCAACTTGCTCTGCGCAAGTTGCTCTGCGCAAGTTGCTCTGCGCAAGTTGCTTTATGCAAGTTGCATCTGGCGACGCGCGCCCGCGGACCAGAAAAAATCGAACCCGCGACAAAAAACCTCGAGTTTTTGCACCTCGACCACGCCAATCCCCGCAGAGGGTCGCGCGGGAACTTTAGAAATCGCAAAAAACCTCGAGTTTTTGCACCTCGACCACGCCGATCCCCGCAAAGGGTCGCGGGAGCATGTTAAAAATCGGAAAAAACCTCGAGTTTTTGCACCTCGACCACGCCAATCCCCACAGAGAGTCGCGCGGGAATGTCAAAAAACGCCCAAAAAAAAACTCAAGTTTTTGCACCTCGACCACGCCGATCCCCGCAGAGAGTCGCGCGAGCATGTCAAAAATCGCAAAAAGCCTCGAGTTTTTGCACCTCGACCACGCCGATCCCCGCAGAGGGTCGCGCGAGCATGTTAAAAGCACAGAAAAACCTCGAGTTTTTGCACCTCGACCACGCCGATCCCCACAGAGGGTCGCGCGAGCATGTTAAAAATCACAAAAACCTCGAGTTTTTGCACCTCGACCACTTGCAACTTGCACTTGACTCCTTGCACTTGACTTCATGCACTTGCAACTTGCACTTGAACTCCATGCACTTGGCTCCTTGCCCTTGGCTCCTTGCACTTGGCTCCTTGCACTTGCAACTTGCACTTGCAACTTGCACTTGCAACTTGCACTTGACTCCATGCACTTGGCTCCTTGCAACTTGCAATGACTCTCATGACTCCTTGCAATGACTCCTTGCAATGAATCCTTGCAATGACTCCTTGCCATGACTCCTTGCAATGACTCCTTGCAATGACTCCTTGCAATGGCTCCTGGCAATGACTCCTTGCAATGAATCCTTGCAATAGCTCCTTGCCATGACTCCTTGCAATGACTCCTTGCAATGACTCTTTGCAATGACTCCTTGCAATAACTCCTTGCAATGACTCCTTGCAATGACTCCTTGCAATGACTCCTTGCAATGACTCCTTGCAATGGCTCCTTGCAATGACTCCTTGCAATGGCTCCTTGCAATGACTTTCATGATGATGATTCCTTGCAATGACACCTTGTAATGACTCTCATGAGAACAAATCAAGTGAACCCAGCGGAAGAACCCTTCGCCATGCTTTCGGGAATAAAAAATGGATGCTGAGACGCGTCATGGCTGCGAGCCCTAGCTGCAATACGCGCAATGTTGCAGATAATTCCCAACAGTGCTCGCTGCTTGCACTTATCCGACATACAATTTCCTTGCGTCAACCCAGATCGTTGGACAGGGACGCTCGCCGTCTTTATATTACCAGGCGCGCTCCCAGGCGCAGTCGCCTACGGAATTGGCCCCTGGGAGTTGCAGGCAGCCGCGACAGCCACCAGAATGTCCAGTGTTCCAGAGCTTGCTCAGTGCCCAGCGTTAGTGTCCAGCGTTCAGTGTTCCAGTTTCGTTTTAAGCCTCGTTCAGCGGCCTTGTTCGGCCCGACGTTGATTTCCTTCCCCCTTAGCAGTCCGGCAAGGCCCAGAGTTTCTGTGCTGTGTTGCGCAGGGTGGTGCCAGGTAAGGGTGCTGCCACCGAGTCGGCTGTTGCAAGGTGCTGCAGCAGAGTGCTATTGCAGGAACATCGGCTGCCACCACTCGTCTGTCCCGCGGTCCAGCTGGTGAGTCTCGGCCCGCAACAGCCCGCAGCAGCACCTTGGTGCAGCGAGTTTTTTTTGTTTCACGGACCTTTTTCCGTCGCGCCTCGGTGAGATATGGTGATACGCACGACCAACCCCTACGCGCCCGGCGCCCAACGGGCGTCGGAGCGCACGTCGCCCTCGAGCGGCGCACTGGCGTTCCATCAACCGCAACCTGCACGCCTCCAAACGCCGGGAGCCCATTCGCGACGACCTTGAGCCGGCGCCCGTCGGACAATGGCAGCCCGAGGTTCAGGTCGCGGCAAACGGGCGCCGCAGCGCGCTCCAAGCGCGACGGACCAGCACGCCGGCTGTGGGGCAAGCTGCCCGTTGGTTTCCGAACTCGCCACTGCGGCAGGCTCTGGTTTCAAGCAGCAGTGGGCGGCACAGGCGCCGGAAGAGCACGCAACGGAACGCGTCATCCTGCAGCGTGAGCTCCCCGCGCGTGACGGCCAGGCCGGCGCCTGCCCGCTGCCTGTTGCCATCCCTGTGCCACATTGCCGAATGGACTCGCCTCACCAGCAGCGAGCCCGTCCGCGAGGGCTCTCCACGGCGGCGCGTTGAAGCCCGCTAGGCGCAAAGCAGCCTCCGCCTGGGCCGCCGCCCGCATCGCAGGCGTGGCGCGCAAGCACGCGCGCCGGCATGGCATCCACCCAGGAGGCCCAATAGGCCGCGGCTTGCCGCGGCCGACCGGAGGCCAAGGCCCCCATACCGGAGTGGGAGCTGCGCACGCCTAGGCGGCTGCTGGGCAAGCTCGAAGGGCTCGGCCGTGCCGCTAAGCAAGCGCCCCAGGCAGCGGGCAATGGCCCAGTCGTGGGACTCAGCGAGCCCTCCCATGTCAGCGGGCGGCAGCACGCGAAGCAAGTAATTGCTCCGAGGCTGCGCACAAAGGAGCAGGAGGAGCAAGGCGCTCTGCGGCCCAAGAGGTCGTCATGTTTTTCCCTCACGCTCCGCAAAAGCTCCCGCGATGAACGCGGCATGCCCCAGCGGCGTGCCAGGCCCTGCTGGGCATCGGCGTGCGTGGCGGCGGGGAGTGCATCCAGTAGTGCACTGTGTTTTTTTTTGTTTTTTTTTTGTCGCTCCTTTTTCCGTGCAGCGAGGGTGAGACATTTTGTTTTTTTGCGCAAGCAGGGTGAAGCGCTTTCGGCGACAAGGGCGGAGGAGCCTTCCCCGCCGTCGTGCCGCCACGGCCCGGGGCCCATCAGCCGGCAGCCGGCTGGCTTCCTCAGCCTCGCCGAGGCGTGCGGCCGCCAGCACCACCTCGGGCCAGGGCGGCGCGGTGCCATCCAAGGCGTCCAGGCCCGCTCCTGGCAGGCCAGCCAGAGTGGCAGCCAGCGCCCTCTGCGCCGCAACGGCAATAATGCCGGACCAGCGCTGGTGGAAGGCCTGCACAGCCGAGGCCCGCAGCCACTGAGGCCGCTCCCTCGCCTTGGCACGGGCTAGGGCGCGCAGCAACTCCCTCGCCTCGCCGTTCCACCTGCCACCAACCTCGACGCCGAAGACAACGAGGCGGCACCGCCGCGCAGCAAGCAGCTCCGGGTAAGTTGTCTCCCGCTTACGCCGGGCCGCCTGCTCCAGCACCCCCCCGGCTTCTCTGGCGCTGCGGCCCCTGGGCTGGCCGTCCCTCCCGATCGGGCTCACGAACGTGGTGTCGATGGCCACCTGGGCGCCATGCCACACCGGCAATGCCGACGCCAGGATCTCGATGCACCGGGCATCGGACACCGGGACATCAACGTTCATCTCAGCCATGCGGACGTGCATGGCCACCCGCCCCCCCGCTTCGCGGCAGACGCGCGCGACCGCCCGCTCCAGGGGGACAGCCCTTGTCCGCAGCACACCAGACGTCGGGCAAGCAGTGACATGGTCCCCCAAAGCATCTGCGGGGCGCCCGCAGCGGCAGGCGCGGGCAGCTGCGGGCAGTGGCATGCGGAGGCGGCGAAGCAGGACAATGCGGAACAGGTCGCTCGGCAGCCGAAGCTCCGCGGCGGTTGGCAGAACATGCAGGGCTCTCCCCGCCTGTGGCCCCGCCTGCGACAACAGCAGCGCGCGCGACGCAAGGTCAAGGTCTGAAAACAGCGTATCGCGCGCCGCCTCGTCGGTCAGCGAGGTGGCCTCTTTTTGCCAGCCGCGGAGGAAGTCTCCGGGCTC